CGTAATAACCTCATATTCATTGGGATTTTAATTTAATTTCAACCATTTGTAAAATTCACTACTATGAACATGTACATTTTTAAAATTCAGTGAATATGCTCAAAGCAATTTCATTAAAATTATAGGTAATCAGTCAAAGCTGTTCAAAACCAGGTGGTACTTTCATCACCACATCAACTGAATTACCACTTCCATGACATGCATACTGAAAGATGAAACTATACTGCAATCTACTTCAATTTTTCTAGTCAATTTAATTTTCACTTAATTTTCAGTGTAATACGTGAACATTTGTTGATGCAGTGAAAATTTATCTGGTGTCCTAAGACACAAAATATCAGCAACCTTTGCGAAATCTATATTCATAAAATCAGCAGCAAAAATAAGACAATTTACAGTTTATTACAGTAAATGTGACGACATTTGTTAATAAATAAAATTATTTTCGAAATAAATGACTGACAGAATTAGAATAAATGGTTTCTGACATTTAGCACACATCTGACCGTTTCTCATGCTTCTTATGCAATACACGTATACTTTATAAAGAAGATTGAATCTACAACTCTGTTTTACCTTTGATTCTGCTGGGCTTTTATCATTTGATATTGTTAACTCTTTGGTTAGTGGTAAACTTTCTTCTATTGACCCCACAGTCGTTACTTTATCCGGCGTTGACTGTCTATCTCGATGATTGTGATTATTTGACAATTGAAACTTACTTCCTGTAAAGGTAAAAAACTATCAGAAAACGCACAACAATTTCTGAATATCGACAGATAAATATAACACAAAAATAATAATAAAAAAGGTTTCCGACAGTTGTGGTGGAAGGTGAGAGCATGAATAAAGTTAACAGGGTAGGATCGTAGACAGATCTTATAACAGATTGTAGATAGAGAAGGCAGCCATGCTGTTTAGTACGGTACATACCCGGTACATGCACTGATAGCAAAATGTCCTCTAACAGAAATGATCCTGAGTTGAAATGAAATCCCCCCAAAAAACAAGATGATTGATGATCTTATTGATTGAGAAATGGGACTGGGGTGCAAAAAAAAACCGTTTCCATTCCATTCGTTTTTACCCCTACCGGTATTTGATTTATAAAATCTGAATTTCATTTTACCAAATTATTATGTTTTTAAAGATCGTTACGTTCACTAGGCTCTGTTGTGTTAATAAAACACCTGTGAATAAGCATAACTAGTTGCATTACAGCTAATTTATTCACACTGCACTTTTGATAGCATTTTTTTCGCCAAAATAGTCGTACAACATCTTAGACGTTTATTTTTCTATAATTTCTTTGTTAGTTTTGTAACAGATGGACATAATTTCCCAGACACTAAAGATTTGAGAAAATCTAAAAAATATTTTTCAGGTTTTTTTTCGGAGTTCAAACGATTAGATCAGCTTGCTCCTTTAATATCATCTCACCTACTACTGATGCAACTTCTCTAAATGACGTTGGTCTTTTCTTCTTCTTTTTTTCTGACATATCCACTGTTAAACTGACAGTGACTTCTATCTCACCCCTTTCCTTAGCATCTTTTTTCCCTCGTTTATTATGTAGTTTGTGCCATCTATGAATGGGATAAGCACTATATTAGTAATGATGAAATGCTATGATAGGAAAGAAAAGTTTTAGACTTGTGATTAATACATGTATATGATGAAAACTGATATCAGATTTATCACTGCCATGAAAAGCTAAGAGAAGTGAGATGTACATGCTATATACTGATGAATACATGTCAGTTGTGGAATAAACTGTTGGATTACATGAGTTTTATAAACGGTTACATGCATAAATTCGTCCTTAATAAAGGCATGTATATTTAATAAATTATCTTTGTAATATACTGAATCCTTAAAATATTACTTTAAAAAATTTAGGTAAGTGTGTACCAGGTATGCAAATAATATTATAGCAAATACAGTAGTTGGTCTAATGCTTTTGTACTTTGACCAAGTCATAGAGGGTTGTCAATGACATTATAATACGAGACAATAATATGAGATTATCATGTGAATACCA